GAATAATATTAAGAAAGTTATGTAAAAGTTATAACACATATACATACACATACAAATAAAAGTTATATTAAGTATACTTAATAAATATCAATCTTCGCATCTAAACTAACAATCGATTCTATAAAAATGCGAGAATCTTAATTAATTTTATAGTAAAAAAAAAAAAAAAAAAAAATAAGAAATATATATTACATAGCTTGTAACTTTAAAGTTACATGGCATATAAAGAATCATATAATATTTATATATAAATTTTTCTTTAATTTAATCGTATGTTAATTAATTAAATCAAATAAGCTAAGAAATGATACTATTATAACGTGATCAATTAGAAATAATTCCAATTATCGTTTAAATAATAATAAAAATTTTGTTTGTTAATAACTTCATGAAAATATCTCATAAATTGTAATTAAATTTCTAATTTAATCCGAGCTTTTTTTTCAAAGCTTGAGAGAAAATTAAACCGAAAGTTATTTCGTTAAGAGTAACACTCCGTGTAAGTACCACGCCAGTGAGCAACAACGTGCAACATGCAACGTGGACCTCCTCTCGTCCTCCTCTTATCGTCATCCTTTCTTTCTCTCTTTCTTACTGTGTCCTACAAAACTCGAAGCGAATTAACGGCCGAGGCATTTACATCGTCCTCTTTTACTCGCGTGCACGCGCTCTGTAAGTATGTATGCGTGGGTACGTGCCAAGTTTCGCCGTGGAATGCAAAAAGTTTGGTGAGTTGGTAAAACCGGTGATTTAAAAAATACCATCGTCCTTGCCTTTTTTCATCGTCCTTAAAGGATGCTTCAAAAACGATTTTTCTTTCTTTTTTTTTTTTTTTTTTCTTTTTTTCAGACAAACTTTCCTTCTTTTTTCGTTCTTCATTTCTAATCATCGTTTGATTCATAAGTGTAAAATCTTAAGGCGAATGAGCGTTTAGAGAAATAGAGAAAATAAAAGAAAGATTCAAAAATGATGATAAGGCAAGATAAAAAGGATGATGACGCCAAAAAAAAAAAGAAATGATGAAAATGATTATGATGACGAACAGAAAAAAGAGAGAAAAATAAATTGAGAAAAGAGAAAGCAAATAAAAATAAAATAAAAAGTTTAAAAAAAAGAAAACAGAAATGGAAAATGATAGCAACGTAGGTGTGGCGTAAGCTATAACGAATCCTGCAGTAGAGTCTAATGAAGAAACGTGAGGAATGGGCACATAGTTCAGCCGATGCTTCCTAACTGTAAACGTACAGAATCCAGTTAATCATACGTAGTATGACGTATACAAATAATTTTTTAAATATCGAATGATGTGCTTGTATAAAAATAATAAGAACGTTCGATGATTAGCTAAAAAGTAAACGAAAAAAAAAAAAAGAAAAAAATAAAAGGAAAGTATAAAATATATAAAATTTGAATATCAAGATCAATCTTAATTTATCAATTTTATTAATTTATAACGTAAGTTCATATAATATATAGTAAATAAAAAAATATAACGTAAGTATATTATATATAGTAAATTTAATGATATATTCATTCGATCATGAATGAATAGATCGAAATGATGAAAATGAAAGAAGAAATGAAAGAATTCGAGTCAATGTGACGTGATCCCGTGTGACTCTTTACTGTCCCAGTTTGTAGATCTAGTCAAGTCATTCCTATGATCGAAAAATCAACTAGCAATACATGTGCGTGCACGTGTGTATGTCCGTGCGTTTGTGTACACACATTCGTGTGCGTTTTTGTGTATTCATTTATTCACCTCGAGTAAAAGTGCGAGAAGTTTAAAGAGTAGGTGACAAAGGGAGTAGGGAAAAATTAAATGTATAGTTGGGTAAGTGTGCGAAGGATAGTTGAACGATGCCAATGGAGGCCGGCAATCTAACAGGCAGGAAGCTGCCAGGTGTAACGGTACACTCGGACCCTGACTACTTTGTAGCGATGCGGAGCCTTTTCGCATCGTCGATCGTTTCACGTCGTTGTAAATATAGGCAAACGCGTTTCTTACCCCTTACTCTTCCTTCCCTCACCATGGAAAGTTTCTTTTTCATTAGACTTACATGATCCGTTATCGGTACCTGCATTATTCAACGATTAATCGAGAAATTTTAATTCTCTTCTTGCAATCCTTCATTAGTTCGATATTTAAAAATAAAAAAAAAAATATATATATATATAAAATTAAATGATTATATTGATTATATAAAATTATATGATGAGTAAAATTAGGTATATAATGAACTTTGTAGATTTTCTTTCTGTTTCGTTTAACGCCGGAATTAAATACTTTTCTTTTTTTTTAAACGCGCCCGTCAATTTAATAGATATTTGACAAATAAATGATTATTTCTTCTTTTTCTTTTTTTTTTCTTTTTTGTTATCTTCAGTTCATTTAATTTTATAATGATTAATAGACAAGAATAGTTTTCAATTGACATTTTCTAATACGTCAAAATCACGGATTTTTAAAATTCTTCTTCTACAATTACCGAAATCGTAATTATTAGAGTAATTTTAACTGTGAGATGTTTTTGTTTACCTGTTATTGTAAAATTAAATAAAGTAAAAATAATAAAGAGTAAAGTTTTAAAATTTTCTTTTTTTTTTCAAGTACTCGTGAAATCAACAAAAAATATGTGGTTAAAGTAGCTTGGCATAGTTTTAGTATTATCAATTATCATCTTAAATGTACTGTAAATTCATTTCAATTCATTGTAAAAGAAAAGATTCGAAATCCATAATTTTTACGAGTTTAATAATTCTAATGTTAATTATACAGGAATCTAAATGAGAATACCTGCTTATTTTTTATTATTCATTAATAAACGAAATATGTTCTTAACAAGAACTGATTTCGAAAAAAGAGTTTTCACTACTACAATTACTATTACTATAATATTTCCAAAAATTATAATATTTTCATTAAGAAGTATTATTGTGCATCTATAATCATTCACATGTTCTTATTGAAATGTTCCACCCTGTATATAACTTTTTATCATCATCTGAATTTTCCTTAATCATGTATTATTTACGATTTATTTAACAATTTCAACTTTTTTCTAATATCTAAAACTTTGGCTATGTCAATTTTAATAAATTCATAAATCTACTTTAAATTTATGGAACACGTCATTTTAATGAATTTCAGATTCTTTGTTTAAATTTATTTTTTACGATTTTATGTTGACTTTGATCGATATAACGATTTGAACTAATGTTATAACGAAAATTTTAATATACTTTTCAACATGAAATATCTTATATCATAAATTTATAATTTTTCATTAAGAATTAAAAAAATATTCTTCAATTTTTATGTTTTTGGAATTTTAATACAGTAACATTAAAAATCAATATCTTCGATAACATCTAACGTATAATAATGCAAATATAATTTTGTCCATCTAATTCAACTAAACAATAATTTTATTAAGATTACTTTTAATTTCAATTAAAGCAATTAAATACAAATTAAAAAAAAAAATAAAAAAAATCGTATTTAAATATAGAATTAATCTCAATTTATAATTCTCGTTCAATATTTTCATATTTAATACCCGTTATATAGTAACTAACTACTTCGCATTATATACTTAACATTGAAAAAATAAACTAAATTAAAGAGAATTTTTTGAAAGATCATAAAAATTCTTTTTTTAAAGGTTATACCTTTATCGAGCAATTAATTAAAACCCATAGACGATAATAATCCATTTTAACTTCATAATTTTTTTCTCTGTTCATCGATCTTCATGAAATTTCATTCAATCCGTTTCATATTTTCCTTATATACGTGAATAAAACGCCATCCCGCGAATTGCAAACGTCATTTTCGTGTGAACAAGGATGAATCACGAGGTATTAGTAGTTCAGTCTGTAAGACAGGATAGAATGGGCATCTATAGTTGCGGATAGAACATCGAGGATACACCTTAGAGGCACGCGCTGATGTAATGTGGGTAATGCATAATGAGGACTTTGCACATTCCTCGCACCATCGACTCGTTCTCGTCGAGTTGGAGAAGGAAAGATTTCTCTCTGGCTTCATGACTTAGCCCGCAAGCCTTTCCCCTTCTGCCTTTTCCAGATTGGCCACATTGCGTTCTTTCTAGGTAAGCACGTGCTTAACTATGTAAGTACGTATAACTACACGCTCTTGTGAACGCGAAAAAGAATAATACGTTAGCTTGATAATAACAATCTAAAAAAATTATTATTTCGATATATGTATTATTTATATATCATTTTTTTTTTTTATAGTTCATATAATTTTTTTCTTATTATCATCGTTGAACTTTGTTCATTAGTTATCTGTAGGAATACTTTTTATATTGTTATTACTTATGTTAGATTCGATGATAAAATATTATCGTGAATTTTATATAGTTTATTTTCTTTCTTTTTTTTTTTTTTTGATTACTTAATAGATCACTAGATTTGTAAGAATTTTCTCATTTCACGTTACTGTTAGTTCTGATAGTAATGATAGAATCGAAGCTACATAGAGAGATCGAATAGAATAAATGAAAAAGAGGGGAGAGAAAGAAAAAGAGACACAGAGAGAGAGAGAGAGAATGAGAGAGAGAGAGAGAGAGAGAGAGAGAGAGGGAAAGATAGAGATAGATGGAGAGAAAGAACGTGAGAAGAGAATAGGTATTTATAAGCGGTGAAGCGAGCAGCGGGATAAACGTGGATCAACGGTACTTCTTGGAAGAAAATTATACGTAGACAGTGCCGATTACACGATCGACGGTGCCTTGCACAATTAACAGGGACCAACATATTATTGGGTATGCCTTGAAATTAATTAAATAATCGCTATAACGTCTGGCGTAGTTATTCTATTAGAAGCAGGAAATCTAATTAGACATTATTTTTCAAAATTGTATTTATTAAGAAATTTAATAAATATTTATCATTTACAAAACAGTTATTGATATTTATCACGCAATAAATAATTGTATAGAAATTATTATATTAAATAGTATCCATTAATCTAAATTGTACTAGAGTTATTTATTTTGAATTACAAACAACAAATGCACGATAACAGGGTGTCGATGGCTTTACCAATTTTACCATTGGACTATTATTTCTCATTGTTAACCATGTTTTGTAATTTATTCTAACTATATAAAAATCATCGAAAACTGGAACCATTGCTACGGTATCATTTTGTATGTTTGATAATATACCAGAAACATAACCCAATGATTTACAGATCTCGGATGCGTCATCGTTTGTGTTTATTGGATTTGGGGAACATGCTGAATGCCAAATACCAAAACTTCTCTGTATTACTTCTCCGACATTAGTTCTATAAAATAATATTTTTTTTAATTAAAAGTTTACGATGAATAAATTAATTCTATTTAAAGATTAATACTGATAAATAAGTGGGACATCGAATGATAATCGAAAATTTCATCGTTAAATTAAATACTTACTTATCCTTATGAAATTCTTGTATTTTTTTACATTCTGCTTCATCCTCACCACCTGGACAATCATTTTCTTCGTCGCATACGAATTCTTGTGGGATACATATTTCAGTGCCATTGATTCTGTGAATACAATATTATCATTAAATTATATTCCTAAATGTCTTCTTTATAATCTTTCAGTATTTAATTCATTTAAATAAATCAAATTAAAAACAAAAATATAATTAAATAAGAGAATTGATTATATAAATATTATTAATGTAATTATTTGAATAATTTAATTCTTTAGTAAATGAGATATAATTTAATAATACAATTGTATGAATAGATTTAATTTACCCGGCACATCTGAAACTGTCATCCTTGCAGGGACATATCATTGGCGATTCGTCCGATTTATCCAAACAATTTCGTTTACCATTACAAATACGTTCCGGCGTAGTCAATCTCAAGTAATTCGCACAACTACAGTTCGTCATTTCGTCGCTTCTATCACTGCAATCGAACTTTCCATCACAAAATAGACTTTTCGATACGCATTCGCCATTTCCACAACGTAACTCGAATTGAGAACATTCTGTTCGATATAAATAAGAGAAGATATTAATCAAATTTAAATCATCATTTTATAAACTGTACAATAGATCTATAGAATATTATGATCGCATATTAATACCGTATATGTTATTGTTCTGACGGAGTTCTTTTAATTTTATACAATTTTTTATGTTCTCATCGAAACCATCTCGGCAGTCTTGCACTCCGTCACAAATTCGATTACAAGGAATACATTGGCCAATTTTACAACGAACACCGTTGCATTTAGGTTCTTCGTATGGCTTAATTTTATCCTCTGAAAATATAACAAACTGTGTAAGAAAAATGTATAATAATTTTTTTACATTAAACAAAAATCATAAAATTTTCTTACCCATTGCTTGAGTAAGATATGCATTTAAATAATCAATGCTCGTTAAGGCTTGCACTCGTTGAAAACTACAAGGTGGATTTTTTTTGTGAAACACTGCCGACGGATACCAGCCTTTAACTCCGTGACAAAATATGATTCCATTCCAATCGTTTGATGTGTTATTTGTCTGATTAATATATGCAAACATTTGATTAATTTAAGAAAAATAATTGAATAAGGTTTATATATATACATATATATATATGTATTTATTTTTTAAAGATTTTTTTTTAAAGATAGAACTCACCGTACAGAAATCGTTCCTAGCACTCACGAAACAACGATGACACTTTTGACAGTTTTTCAAAACTGGTTTTAAAAGCACCGTATGAATTGTCAATTCATTGTCTGTACCAACTGCTATACAACTGTCCTTAATATTTGGTGGGTAAATTCTAAAGAATATAATATGACTTATAAATGTATAACATTATTTGTTATTTAATATTAATATTTTATACGAACTTTTTCTCAAGGAATAGTGCTTGCACATGACGCGTCATATTGACTGATGTCTTCAAATGAATAAGTGATGCACCTGTATCGTTTAAAATTTTGATATCGTCTACAATTGACACTTGCTGATGAGGCCCATCCGCGTAAAGGAACGACGGAGAATAACCCAACAATACAGTTGTATAGTTTTCTGATAATCTACAATATTATCGTTCTTATTTATAAACATTCAGTTTAGGACAACTAATACTTATTGCATATTTAAAAAAACAAAATATCTGATTGATCTTAAAAAATAAACATACTTGATATTTTTGATACATGTCGAACTAGATAACAGCCAATTTGGTTCTAATAAAATTGCTGAACAACGATAGAGACCATCGACAAAGACTGCAGCTAACCACGGCCAGATATAAGTACGACTTCCGGTTTTCGGATCGACAAGCAAGTGTACGTTCGCACTGCTGCTTAGAACCGGTCTGCAATGAATGTAAAGACCTAGACATGTAGACAGTTCCTCGCTAGGAGCGACGTACGTCGGCATAGACTGGTAATAAGTCGTGTTTGTTCCGTTTATATCTTTCAATTCTAGATCCATGTTCAATACTGGTACCTCTTCAACTTTATCAACGTTTCTATGAAAATTAGTATTGTTAAATGTCGTCAATTATAAATTTTATTCATTCGTTATTTTATTTCTACTTACTCGAATCCAAAATATTCGCACATATTATTAGCGATAATTACAGTTGATGATTGATTAAGAATTTTTACAGAATGATGACAAGTTGGATGCCATTTTTCATCTTGATTTCTAGTGAGGACACCCTCGATGTTTAAAATTGGACGTCCGTCAATGTCCATATTCACGTACTTGCCATTACTTAAGATGACTAAGAAAATCAATAAAAATGTTATGATCATCGAGAAATCATCAAGTTTTAGTTTAATAACTGAAACTTACAACAATCCAATTCGTCCTCTTTCAAAGGACAATCGAATTTCGCATCGCATTTCTTTGACAACGGTATACACGTTTTACTTCTATCGCAAAGAAACTGATCATCCGAACATATCTCTGAAAGATCAATTTTTTTCAGTAAATATAGAGCATATATGAAGGTAAATGAAAGAAATTGAAAGGAATTTTACTGCAATTATTTTCATCGGTTTTATCTTTACAATCCATGTATCCGTCACATATTGCTTTTGGTCGATATTGATATAAAATATCTTTGCATGTACAATTATGTTCATCTGTTCCATCCTCGCAATCGATAATCCTGTCACATCGTTTACTTATATGTATGCTTTGAATTAATCTGTAAATTAAATTTTTTACTGTTCATTGATTTTCTAAATTTATTTATGTAAATATAGAATATTGCGCCTGAAAATATAAAACACTTTCTACTTCGTCGATAATGTTGTTTACGAGTGCCATCTATCAGTGAGAAACTTTTTTTAGTTCCTAAGAGAAGACAACACCTATATACACGTTTGTGAATTATAGCGATTGTATTAAGGGGCTTAAAATAAGTCTCTTGAACTTCCAAACAACATTATCGATCATGTACGTAATGTTGTCTATTTACAGGGTGAACATTCATATCAATTACAAGCAATTGATCGATACATATTTCTGATTAATTTCTTAAACCAAATAATAATAAAATTGATTGCAATGCATCGAATAATTTCGTCACTTTTTGCAAATGATAAGAAAACAAATTATTTTTATCATTGCAACTTTATATAAATTTATTTCATACTTACAGTTTGCATGTAAATACATAAGAAACAGAATTCTCTGCGATCGCTGAGACAGAAGTTGATTCTATATATTTTATAGTTGACGATGAAATATTAGAAATATCAGTATATGCACTGGTTTCCGACGATGACCATGAAATATTTTCTGTAATGATAGGAGTTTCTGTAAACAAAAAATTCATAAAATTCGTTAAATGACATCAATTTTATTTTTATAAATATATATCTAGCCTGATCAAATAAAACCATTTCATTAAATTATACAAAATGTTGTCTCTCAATGGAAACTTTTATATCTTGTATTATTGATTAAAAGGCGAGAAAAAAATGAAACGATGTTTAAAGATAAGTTTTAACATCTTCTTAAAAATTATAATTTTTCACTTCTATATTAAATATAATATCATTTTTACCTGTATTTGAACTGTCAATCGTGGTTTCATTCATATTGGATATATCAGTAACTACTTTGTAATCATCATTATACGTAATATACTTATTATGAGTTTCGTTTTCGGATTCTTTGATTAATTGAAAATCAGTAAAATCATTACAATTTTCTTCATCTTCGCCATACAAACAATGTACCGTACGATCACAACGTTGATTACTTGGCAAACACTTTCCATCGTGACAATTAAAACCTGGACATTTTTTTAAAGGATAACCTTTCCTACGAAGTGTCGATCGTCCTTCTACATAATGAAATCAATCGAATTAATAATAATGCATTTATATATAGTAATATAAAAAAATTTACCAGAAATTTGTTTGATCCAATTGACGAAATAGCTAACTTTTGTATAAATGCCAGGTTTTCCTGGACGTCCACAACCTTCACCATGACTAACTATACCAGCTATGTAATAAGATAAGTCCACGGATGGATTCCTAAAAAATAATAAGAATGTATAATCCGATCATTTCATTTTTTTATATATTTTTCATGCTATATATTATAAATAATATATTGTACATGCACAATAAAGGGCCACCACTATCTCCTTGACAAGCATCTCGACCACCTTCCGGATATCCAGCACAAATCTCAGTTTTATTGTCATATTCAAAATCGATACATTCTGACAAAATAGGTACTGCAACTTCTCTCAATTGATCAGCTACATAATATTAAAATTGATTTATAATATTGCGAAATTTAATATCCATTGATATAAGTAATTTTAATGATTGAGAGAGAGAGAGAGAGAGAGAGAGAGAGAAAGAGAGAGAGAGTTTTACTATCAGGGCCTCGTTCCATCCATGCACCCCAACCCATGACCACACACATTGTATGAGCGGATGGTACTTGTTCCCAGATCGAACCAGGTATATTCTCATTTGGAAAACATGCAGGACGAACCCATCGATTAAAATGGAGTGGGGCATCCAACATAATCATTCCGATATCATTTCTCATCGTATTAGGATCATAGTTCGGATGTACTACAATACTTTTTGCGATTCTATTTTGTGTCATAGGTGAAAATGATAAACGTCGTAATATACCAGCTTGTACTTCGTAATAGTGATTAGTTCTAAATAAAGGATTTCAAGATTTACAGATTAATCTTAATGAGATTTTAATTATACGACGATGAGAAATATATTTGAAAAAATCTTACTGAACGAGACAATGAGCAGCAGTGATTATCCAATATTCGTTTAAAATAACACCGCCACAATGAAAATTGCCGTCCTTGTACATAGCAATTAAAAAGGGCCATGCTTCTGGTTCACTAGCACGACCTCCAACAATCCCTAGGATCGTATCAAATTCTTCGTTAAGCTTTGTAACCACTTTTTCTCCGTTCGATTCTGTCGAATTTTTTGATAATTTAACTTGACCGATTTTAAAATTATTTCTCATTTTATTTTCTTCAGAAATATAAGAATTATATTCTTGAGACTGATGTGTTGCACCACAAGGATAAGGTGGACATTTAACATACACTGTGTTCATGCAAGAATCGATTATTTCCGCTTTGCCATTTGTTATTATCAAAAAGGACCCCTCATAATCGTTCCAAGATACTGTACGGATTTCAATTTTTGGTTTATCACTGTAATCAATCAAAAAAAGATAAATACATATATATATATATATATGTCCTTTGACGAATGACAAATAATTTTATTTTTTCTTTTTTTTTTCTTTTTGAATTCACAGAAACATACATTTTTTTCAATTTTAATTCATTCTTACAGGCTTCTTCAGCCAAAGTCATTTCTTTCGAACAAACTGGATACCATTTGCCTTCGTAATTTTTGTGTAGATAACCCTCGGTATAACCGACCACGTTAATCTGAAATAATGATCAATTAATCTCGCAAAATTTATTATATGTATATCATTTAGAAAAATAAAATCATTTTTATTAAAGAATATACATCTGTATTTTTGATATGTGTTGGTAATAGTAGACTACAATCTTCTTCGTCTTTTCCATTTAGACACTCTGGAGATCCATCACAACGTTTAGAAAGAGATACACATCTACTATATATCTCTCCATATTTAGAATTGTAACAGCTAAATGAATCTTTTGGACAATCTAAAAAAAAATTTTAACACATTTTTTGTATTAATATAATAAAATATATAAAAAATCAATAAGACTCATACTCCTAATCGAAGAATTTCATTTTCAAAAATAAATACCATAACATTCCATTTCGTCTTCGCCGTTAGGACAATCGACATATCCATCACATAATCGATTTTTCGCTATTCTGTCTTTACAACTGCAATTCTTTTCGTCGCTACCGTCTAAACAGTCAACGTAACCGTCGCATAATTTTAATTTCGAGATACATTGATTGTTTTGAACGCATAGAAATGTGTTTACTGGACAACGTAAAGATTTATAATTTTCTGCAAGATAAACAAATATTAATAAAATATATCGTATTGATATATTGAATTTATTTTTAAATACAATCAATATATCAAGTTTATCATTGTTACCTATATTCTTTCCTGTATGCCTAAAGTCTGGAACTCCTGGAATGTTTGAGGGATGAAACGGCGGTGCTGGCAAGTATGTGCAATGAAATTGTAATGATCTACCAGGTTCAACCGGGGGAACTTTTTGATTTGGCATAGATAACCAAGGAACAATGTTCTCAGAAGGAGATAGTAATTGCATATTTTGAGCTTGAATTTGTAAGAAATTTGGTGGAGATGGATTTGATGATTGCGAATTCCCGGAATATGGTATAGATTGTTGAGGAATTTGAGGATAAGAACCAGACGGATAGGATGTTGGAAAGATAGGCGAATTTAGATCACTGGACTGGGGAAATTGAGATATACCATAAAAACACGTGGAATATGGCATCCAAGTATACGGTGGTTTTAAATCTACTTGACTCGCTTGTTGCATAACTTCAGCAGTGGGTAAAATTATTTGAGAACTTGACGATGATAATTTAAGTCCATAATCCATCGATCTCTCGTTAACTGTATCCGATGATTCGTTAGCAACTGTCTCTAATATGTTATCAACTATTTGACGCGTATTATCTCTTTTAGCCTGACCAATCGATAACGTTGTTATAGGATCTGGCATCAAATTCATAGTTTCAGTATCATCAGTTTCCCTTTTTTCATCTATATCCGTTGAATCTAAATTATGATATTCATCAATCGTATCGTGTTTACCGTCTAACAAATTGATAACGATTTGAATATTCTTATCTTCGTTTTGAAATGACATATCGTTATCTTCGTTGCTCATTGGATCAAACTCGTAACTTTCGGTTATTATGGTTTTACACTCTAAACATCTTATCATTTCCAGAAATTTCGAATTTTTATTTTCTAAATTGTTTACAACGATGTCTATATCTTCCAACAAATTCGATAAAAAATGTTTATTGTTCGTGAATATCTTAAGAAAACTGTTTATCGATTCGCAGTAATTCGCTGTTTCTTGACAACTTTCAAACGATATGTTTAATTCGCGTTTAAAACGCTTTTTATTCTGATCTTCAGGAAGAAAAGAATATATCATTTTCAATGTGTCTTCGTTAAAATCATTGATATCAATATCAGAAGTTTGATTTTTATCAATTCCTTTTTGAGTAAACTCAATCGGTGTTTCCGTTTTATCGATATAATCGTGCTCGATATGGATCTCATGATAAATAGGATCTCCTGTAATATCAGTATATTCTTAAATTTATTATAAATGCTTCGATGGATTCAAATATCCTGAAAAATATTTTTTTTTTACCTATTTCTAAAGACATGACGTAAATTATTGAGACGAAGAGACACATCATTAGAATCATAAAAAGAAGTACAGCCGTGAAGAATGTTTTCGAACGTTTTAACGTATTCAAACATATAAACGGAATGTAAATATGTCGGTTCGAGTCATCTAATGTTTAAAAAATAAAATAGGTTATCAAATGAAAATAATTCATATATTTCTCTTATAAAAATTCAACTTACCTTTTAATACGGTTGTTACTAGACTCTCACAACAATATGACCGATCGATCAGAATATTTTGTAATTTTTTAGACAGATCTTGTTGTTTATCACTTTCATCCATTTTCATTAAAAAGATCACTATTGAATAATACGTCAAAGTAAATTTATGATATTAAGGATAGAACAATTGTTTAATTATTAATTTTTTATTTCAATGTTAACTGTTTGTTATAAAAACGATTTGAAAAGTAACACGATATCGTTGCGTCAACTGTGATCCTTCACCTCGATGCTTTCAAAACAGAATAAAAAAGTAATACACGATGCAATCTATTTGAAACTTATATCGAATGTGTCAGCGACAAGTCTTTCGAATATTTCGACATTCGATCGCGTATAAAGGACCGATTTGATTTGTACGCATTGTTCTTGCGATCTTTCTTGCAAAACTTGCAGAAAATAAGTGGGTAAAAAGTTTTCCATTATATGTAAGTCTATCGAACGCATGAAAATTTTGAAAAATATGTAATATTTCAGTAAATTTGTAAAATATTTTTATTATTTATTTTTTCAATCAATTATTCCATATAATATACTATACAAATTGAAAGGTTACGTACATCTTTCTCTCTCTTTCTCTAAAAAACATTCAAAATTTTAAATGATTGTAACTTTATCAATTTTTGAAATATTCTAACAAAATTAGCAGAGAATAATCATAAAGAATAATACTATCCAATAAAAATATTTTTCAATTATTTATTTAATCAGTAAAAGTACTTTCAATTGAAATTTTTCATTTCACAACAATTAGCGTTGAAATGTGATAGCCATGTCATTCTTTCGATTTCCTTTGGAATGTGCAGACTAGTCAATTACTCACTTTGTGACATAGTTTTCATTAATGAAATGCATTTGCAAGTTTAACAATGTAAAAGCAGACAAAGGAAAAGGAAAGAAGCAGGAAGGGAGAGTCTTATTAAATCTATTTAAACATGAAACTGTTGTTAAAATTTTATATGGAATTTTAAATGTAGATCTGTGTGATCATGCTAAATTTATTGAAAAAAAAAAACATTATGTAAAAGTAATAATCTTATAGAGATCTATCTAAGAAAAGATCTATCATTTCAATGTTATACTTTAATAAAATAATTTAATATATATTATTCCTCGATTTTATTTATTTATTACATATTGTGCCTAAAATTAGGCAACCCTTCTTACTCTGACGATAATGTCGTTTCCTTGTATCATCTGTTAATAAGAAACTTTTTATTATTAACTGATAGTAGATAATACATTTATAGATGCTTATATGAAAAGAACCAGCTATTATAAGGCTCGAAAAGATCTCTTGATAATAGATGGCGCTTGACAACAACATTATCGACGGAGTATGAAGAGTTGCCTTATTTTAGGCGTAATATTTAATGTTCTTATAAATAATTAAGAAAACATTGATATAAATGTTATATATAATTATCAACAATTTTAAATTAAATAATAAATAAATTAATTATATTGAATCACATATTTTTTTAGCTCTCGCAAAACTTATAAAACCTTGCATTATATAATCCTTATTTGCATACAAAATAATTCCTGAATAAGAGAGAGATTCAATAGCTGGCCAACTCATATATTACATATATATAGTTTATTATAGCGGAACAATCAATTGTATTTTATTATTTCCATGATGGATATAAAAGAATTCGTTAGTAGGATGAACGCGAATGTAGGATAACCATCGCTGTCTATAATGAATCATATTTGAACTGAAGGTTAGACATACGATTTACATTAATTATTATATGCAGTATAATATAATGATTTATCGACACATTTTCAAATCCTTTTAATAAAGTTTTTTCTAACTAATTTTTATTAATGCAATTGTTAGTAATAATAATATAAAAAAAAAACACATCCCGACTTTTCATTCGTTCGATTCCATTTTATTTTTAGAATAATTTCTACGATAAATTTTACATTTAGGATAATCTGATATAACATTTTCTTTTACCAATTTATTATACATTCATTGTTTTATAATTATCTACGCAAACAATAAGTACAAACATAATTCTTGATCAATCTTGATAAAAGTCACAATATTTTTTTTTTCTAATTATATATGTTTGTTCTAAATTAATTATATTATTTGTTTATTCCAAATTAATTAATTGATATTGTTTAATCGATAAATAACAACAAGGAAACTTCTCGAATAATATCCAATAGCATTGTTTGTTTTCATTTCTATAGAATTTGATCGATCTATGAGCACAACAAACAGATTAATAAAATCACTTATGCCATTGCATAAAAATTTATTAAAAAAATAAAGCGTTGAAAAATAAACGTGTAATATTAAATATGTGTCGAATAAGTCGAATAAGTCGAATAAGTCGAATAAGTGAAGGGGAATCAGTATGACGATTCGAGCATGACGATTCAAGTTGAGAAAAAGAGAGAAAGAATCAGGTGATAGAATAGTCTGATCGTATTTAGCGGCGAATATCGATTATGCAATGTGGATTCTTTTACTTTCTCTCAGTATGTCTGAAGAATAGCTTCTGCTGGCACGAACGTTATAGGCTCGCTAATGTACGTTCAAACGCGCTACGTTAAAGAATAAATCGTTAAATTTTCTAGACAGAAATTCGCGTTACCAAAATATCTTGTAAATTATTTTTGAAGATATTCTTTATTTCTTATCTTCTGAAACTTTCGTGAAAATATTTCAACGATAAATTTGATTTCGTTTCAAGGTGCTATCAAATTACTCGTGTATAAAAAAAGATGGTGAAAATTGGCCAATGACGTAAACCGAATTCGTAAAACTTTGTGACAACAAGTGTTTCATATCATAAAAAAATAATAAAAATGTTTTGTTAAATATAACGAATGTTTCAACAATAAAAATAGAATAGATATACGTTGTTTGAATGTGTCGAGACAATAATTTACAATAATTTATATGATTTTTAATTCAATATGATCTGATATTAAAATAAATGAAACGTGAAAATTAATAAATAATTCGTACAATCTTTATGATAAAGTAATTAAATTTTCATAGGTAAGTATATTATGAAAACAATAAAAAATTTAATTTCAACATTTTGAAATATAAATGTATATGTGTTTTCGTATATTTTAAAATAATGTACAATAATTTCTAATAAAGATACTGAAACTCTATTCATGAAATACTCACGTGTACATAAATGCGAAGTTGCGAATAATCGCAATGGAAAATCTCTAAAATTGTTGACAGTCGCAAATGCAACGTGTATGTTATTTTTTGTTGTATGATGTAATGAATAATTTATATCATACATTTCAGTAATGATAGTTTAAGAAGGTCGAGAAAAAATAAATATATACATATCCAATATCGAAACGTAGTCACTGCAAAAAAACATATATTTTTTTCAAAAATAGATTTAGAAGATATTATAATAAATGCTCTGAACAGTTCTTTATTTTCAATGTTTATATATTTGTATATATATATATATATATTTCTTGAATAATATACATTAATTTAAAAAAAAAACGTATAAATTATTTTCTACATTTATTTAGTGTTATATGATTTAATTTTATTTAACTTAATGAAAAATAAAACCTTTCCAATCTTTTTTCGCAACATTCACTGCATTAAAAATTTCAATTATTTCATTCGATTCAAAAAAATAGAATTTTTTAAGGTAAATAAAAATGTTAACTTTCTTTTCAGTAATTCCAAATGCATATTCATGTATTCTATTGACAGAGTTCTTTGTTTATGTATAATATTTGTATATCTTTTCTTTTTTTTTATATAAATTATCCATCTACGATACAGAGCAATATCGAAAAGTGATTATTATGTGTTATCAATTAATAAAAAATTATAATTAAATATGATACACACTATACATTTTCAATCAATGCATGTCATATAATGTTTATTTATTATTTTTTTATATTTTTTTTTTTTTTAGTCGATATTATTATAATACATAAGTGCTACGACTTTATAAAATGTAAATTAATGTAATTGGAAGCGTTAATGTTCTCGATTCTAAATATTATACATTTACGTTTAAAAATTACGTGTCAGAAACGTATGTGTATTTTTACCATTCGAATCGTAAACATGCGTAACACTACAAATAAATTATAGAATAAAGCCTCTGAGAATAGAGCCTGCAATATATAATATCGATAACAATGATTTCGATTCTCGAATTGTAATAATCGAAATATTCCCTTTAAATCCAATGATGTCTACGTAAAAAAATTGTCTCCGTAATATTTATAAATTTTAATTTTATTTATATTTTTTGGCGTATTTTTCCTTTTAGTAAAATTAATGGAAAGGTGGAAGATTAAAGGGGGAAGAGAATCAAATATGTGATGGACCTTGGCATTGGTTAAGGACGATGAATCGTGTAACGATTTAATGAAAGAAGAATCGTGTAACCTTCTAATGCAACGTTTACAAAATTGTTGATATTTCCTAAATTATTCCCGAAGTCAAATTAAACAAGTAAAATCATGCCAATGATTTCTATCGATAATCAGTGTTCTCATAAATTTTTGGTAAGTAGTAACAAATTTATAAAAATATGTTATTTTATTTTATTTATGTATTTTTTATTTTTATTTATTTCTTTTTTTTTATTTCAATCTAATTACGATTCACTCGTAAAGTAATTGATTGAAATAAACAAAAATTTACGAACGTATAAAATAAAAGTATATTTCTCTTCTCATAACGAGTAATCAAAATGATTCTATACATGTACATTGTTTAATTAATACGCACACGTGAAAGATCGAATAGAAGATATACATTTAATTAATATATATATATATATATATATATATATATATATATATATATATATATATATAGCGAGTGTCTCATTTAAATCATCATATAGCCAAATACCTCTGATCTTATTGATTTTATAAACAAATGTTTCAAGTAGGAGTAGAAGTCATTAGGTTTTGAATATGAAAAGCAATATTTATGGTAGTTATTTAATAATTGATAAAATATCGATGAAAAGATATCCTTTCTTGCATTTTTGATAGTTTTGATATTGTAATATTATCGATATTTTCTATAACTTTTCTTAGACTTAAAATATCAATTTCCATTAAAAAAAAAAAAAAAAAATTGTTATAACTTTCGTATCTTGACAAATTACAATCTCTATAAAATAATAATAATAAATATTACATTCTCTCTTCCGATAAGATCAGAGATATTTGTAAAATAAGACGTCC